GCTTCGAACTTTTGAGAGTATGGTTAGGATGAACGAGGATAGTGGAGAAAACCAAGACATTCAGAAGAAAAATGCAGATTCTGCTCCAAGCGAAAGGATTAGCGGTGGAGAAACTGACGGATCGGTGGTCTGTAGGCTGCTGGCGCCTAGTCATCAGGTAGGTCGCGTGCTTGGTAGAGGCGGAAAAAACGTAGAGAAGATCAGACAGGAGAGTACCGCTCATGTGAAAATTTTCCCTAAGGATCAAATCCCCGCGTGTGCGTCGCCACGGGACGAGTTAATTCAAGTAATTCACATTGATTTCTTTGACACTCGAAATCAAAATTTCCATTTCTCACAATCTTTTCAATCATTTTTTTCAACGTGTTTTGCAGATATCAGGAAGGTTTCCGGCGGTGAAGAAGGCCCTTTCTTCTATTTCCGCCTGTCTTCAAGACGGCCCGAGGTTGGACTCGAGCAATTCTTCCACCACAAAACCATTAGGGCCTCCGTCCCAAGCAAGTAGTATGCCGGCACTAGACGAAGAACCTTCTCCTAAGAGGAGATATGCTAGCCATCATAATGCAGATCATCGCTCGAGGGGTTATTCTTCCATACCAGGACACGAAAATGCTGGAGCTGGTCCAAGGCCGGCTATGGAAGAGGAGGTAGTGTTTAGATTATTATGTCAACCCGATAAAGTTGGAAGTCTAATTGGGAAAGGTGGCACCATAGTACGAGCGTTGCAAAATGAAACGGGTGCATCTATAAAGATTGTTGATACACCCGACTTGGATGAACGCGTGGTTATGATATCTGCACGAGAGGTATGATCTTGTTGAAGCTTCAATTTCCTTTGTGATCCATGGTGTTTTTGCCCTGAAACTCATTTACCTATTCCCCTCTTTTCCATTTTATTTTGGGTCGTATGAAAAAAGATCAAGACATTGCAGTTATGGGGATTTGCATGGAAGCTTCTTCCTTCTGATCAGCGTGTTCTTACCAATATTTGCCACAGATCAAGTTATCTACAAAATCATTGTTTCTGGTTTGGAAATTGAAAGCCTTACTTCAGTGAAGTAAAGGTATTCCTTAATTTTCTAAACCAAGATCTTAGAACTTGTTTGAGTTAATAGAATACTTTCCTTAGCTTACTCCCATAATTAGGTCTGTCTTGGTCTCTATATCCTTTGGTTGTTTTAGGGGAAAAACATATGGACTAGAAGGAAAAGAACAGGATATCCCACCAATACTTTCGAGAAACCGAGCTTTCATTGAGAAAAATGGAAGAACGTATAAGGACATGCAAAAAAATAAACCCACAAAAAAAAGTCCAAACACTGATTTAAGAAATGGACTCCAGTTTTTCTCAAGTTGTTTTTTGGTTCTTTGTAAATTTTCTTACTTTCTCAGTGAAAGCTCAACTCCTCTATTTAAACAATATGCTCAGAAGATTAGGAAGTTAAAAGTAGGATTTTTGGATTTTGGGAGTACTGGAGTAGTGTGATGAAGTTAGAATAGAGAAAAAAGAGTAAGAAAGAAGAAGAAATGGAGTTCTGGTTCTTCTGGAAGTAAAATTATTAGTTCAAGCAATTTTTTGGTTTGATCTGTTGATCGATGCTTGTTCCTTTTTTCTCTTTTAGGTTTCTTTTAGGGCCTGCGGTTTTATTTCTTCTTTATATTTCTCAAAGGGTGGCCTAAATTCTCTACTCGAAAGGGGAGTTTTCCTTGTGGAAAACTATCTGTCTCAAATTATTGACTTTACTTTTAGACTGTAGGTAACATCAACTTGATGTTAGATCTCACCTCGGTTGGAGAGGGGAATTTGGGGTGGATTGTTAGATTCCACATCGGTTGGAGAAGGGAACGAAGCATTCCTTATAAGGGTGTGGAAATCTCCCCCTAGTAGACACATTTTAAAATCGTGAGGCTGATGGCGATACGCATCGGGCCTAAGTGGACAATATCTACTAGCGTTGGGCTTGGAATGTTACCCATAAATAAGTGAAATTTGTGAATCTGATGAAGGCAAGGAAAATATGTACAGCCAAAGGTTTTGAACATGCACATTGGAACAAGCCCTAGAAAACTTAAATTGGAGATTTTCCTTCTAGAGTTGTTGGAAGTCCATTGATCAAATGGACAATGGTTTCTAAGGCATTCCACCTAGCCCATCAGGCACAATTTGAGCTAATAGGTTGAACTGAATTCCTCCTCTGAACTGCTTTATCAAGTCTTTTTGTTATGCTCTAATGCAGGACAAGGATCACGAACTAATATAGAAAATGGTTCCAATTCAAAAGAAAAAAACTGAAGCTCATAAGTACAAAAAGACCGAGTGACCGATGCCTATAAGGAGGTGTTCGTTAAGCCAAGCCATCTCCCAAACGTACTCATCTGATCTCTCCATCCCTCTTAAGTTTCTATTATTCCTCTCAATCTAAATTTTCCATGCAAAGAAGCTAGCCTACCATGCAACTGTACTCTTCTCCTTGGAGGGAGAACTCAAAAGCACCTCCTAAACCTTAAACCCTATTGATTAGAAATGTGGTGAAAATCTTAGTTTTTCCCTTGATTGACTTGCACATACTTGTACATTTATTTTGAATCAATTTTGAATGTGGAAATTGAAATGCATAAAGGCTTAGTTTCTCATTTATTATTGTCAGAGGATGGAGCTCTTAGGATTAGCATTTTTTCTGTGGATTATTGCTGCTTTTGTAACCTGCACTTACCACTCGAGTTCGTGATCCTCGTCCTCCTGAATTAGAGCACAACAGAATATGGTGACCTAACATCTACGCCAACATGATTATGCCATTAAATCAATTGAGACCTAACATCTATATCGAAGGTTGGCATAATCATGCATTAGTTATATATATTTTACATAACTTTTTGTATCTTTGAAGCCTTCTTTTCCTTGAATAGGAATCTTGATTCTAGCATTGTATCTAAACAACTGTATTATACTTGTTCAAATTATTCTTTATTGATTTCATCTCAGAGTTTGGAACAAACATATTCTCCTGCACAAGAGGCCGTTATGCGTGTACATGGTCGAATTGCAGAACTTGGGTATGAACCAGGCGCTGCAGTTGTTGCTAGACTACTTGTACATGCACAACAGATAGGCTATTTGGTGGGTAGAGGAGGCCATATTATTAATGAAATGAGAAGAGGGACTGGTACTAGCATTCAGATATTTCCCCGGGAGCAAATTCAAAACAGCGGGCCTGTGAGCGATGAAATAGTACAGGTAATTCACATCTTATAACGTGACCGACCATGCTTGTTTCCTTAGTACGAACTGTTACCTTCCCAAGTTTGCTGTACAACCACCTTTCTTGCTGATAAATATATGATTTTGGAAGTGATCATCTTGTAGTTTCTTTTTTATGGAGTCTGTTTGGTTCTTTCCTATTCATAAAAATGCTGCAGAGACAAATTGGTTCACGGCAATACATATAGATACCGAATGTTACTTGGCCGTTTGATGGCCTATATGATAGTTAAGAGCATATTCTAGCATGAATGCTTTTTCTTAAAAATAAGAATCATAGTATGATGAATCCTATCTTCCTTTACATGTAAGAACTACATGATTGATAGTCCAATTTTGTGTTGAAAGATTTGGGCTAATGTTCATGGCAGGTCATCGGAAATTTGCAGTGTGTACAGGATGCTCTGTTTCATATAACAAATCGGCTTAGAGATACTTTATTCCCAATGAGACCACACGTGCCGAACTTCAATGCTCCATCTTACTTGTCTCCTCACCCAGAAACACCTCCCGTATTTAGGCCGGGAAATAATGCACATTCCCCTGGATACTATCCTTCTCAAGCTGGAGCTCAACGCCTTCCCTTCCATTCCCACCCACTCGATCATCAGCCTGCATATTCTCATGGTATGAGCTTCAGTGGTAATAATATGGATGGAGTTCCATATCCCCATGGCATTGATAGACCAGGGCCAGGTTCTATTGAGAGACCTTCTCCTAGATCGTGGACTTCTCAGGTCATTGCTCAAACCTTCAAGAACCCTAGTTTCTTTGTCGTGGCAAAACTGACTGGAAAACATTTTTTCTTGTTTTTTTGTTGGATTACGTTCAGGTTAGTAACGACATACCCAAGGGACCAACAACTGATGTTGGTTTTGGCATGGCTTCAAGGAACGAGCCCTACAGCAGGTAAACCAATCATTCTTTAAATCTGCAAACTTTCTTCCAGGTTGCATCTTGAAACTGTACTCGGCCTACGTGTTTTAAGGGTTTATTTATTAGTTTGTGTTACAGTCTGTATATGGATTTTCTATGAACAGCGGGGGTCCAGCTCATTTTGTGGGAGGTACATCTATGGAGATGGTGATTCCACAAACTTTAATCTGCCATATCTATGGAGAGAACAATGCCAACATTGCTCATGTTCAGCAGGTTAGTGGAGTACCAAAGTTGGGCAGCACACTGTTTTTTTTGCCTTTATAATGTGTTGTGCGTTACTGTGGCAGATATCAGGGGCAATGGTGGTGGTTCATGATGCTAAACCTGGGATATTTGATGGTAAAGTGGTCGTGTCCGGCACACCAGATCAGATTCGAGCAGCCCAGAGACTTGTCCACGCCTTCATCTTGTGCGGGAAGACACAATCCTGATGAGCCTAAAAGCCTAAAACAGTGCGCAAAAAATTACTTGAATTTTGTCTCAAGTTTCATGATGGTTAGCAAATGGATGTAAACCAGAACATATAACAGTGTAGAAAATGTTTACATCCATTTTACCTCGTTCCAAACATGTTTCTCAGCTGCCATTGCGAAAAGTGCACAATGTAGAAAATCAATCGATCAATAAATAAATGTAGTTGTTTGTTTGTGTGCATCTTATTTAGTAGCACAGGATTTGTAGCCTCTGTTTTCGTAGTCAAATTTTGCATTATTCAGATCGGATTCGATTCAACCCAAATGCTAGTGTCAGCCATTGGAGTGACTCTGACAAAGGGATAGAAACCTGTGCAAGAGAATACTGGACAAAAGTAAGATGGATTAAGAAAAAACCGTCCATTGTACATCATCAGCAGCAAATGATAATTTACAAGATTCTGGGAATTGACATTTGGAAAATGGTTCAGAATATGATAGGAAAAGCTAATAAAATTAGTGCACGTGCACGGTACCCTTGTTTCCAAGATGAATTGGCCAGAATAGAATCTATAAGGGTCTCTCTGTCGCGGGTGTGAATCCTGATTCTTAGCCATCAGACTAACCCGTTTCAAACTACTCTGTAAGGAGAGATTAAGCTCAGTATAATTTCCGCAACAGCAATCATAAACATCTGTCTCAATTCTAAGCACCTTTTGGGTTGGACTCCGAATCTCCATTCTGCACGACATTCTAAAACATAATAGAATAGTTGACGTGAAGGGCCAGTGAGGACAGCAGGAATTTCAACTACAAAAAGCATAGTTAAGAAAAAGACAACATAATCTACGGCTCACCTCATTTCTATTGAATGATGAAGCTTGTCCACTCTGGTTTGGTGCTTTTGAGAGGTCCCGCAGAGTTCCCTTGTAATCCACAGCGATACAAATTAGAAGGAACGGAAATGAAAACATGAGGGCTGTTCACTACCTAACAGCCTTCAAGAAAAGAATTTCTATGGCGGAAAGCATGCAGCATATCATTTTGCAGAGTCGTGGGCATAGGATGCTGACGTCTGACCACATTTATTTTTCCTATAACAATTCTGTTAAAGCTCCAACACAGGAAAAGTGGAGAAATAAGACACCTGCCATATGTACAGAAGAGCCTTTCTACCAACAGAAGAGAACCTAGAAAATTGTCAAGACACCACCATTGTTAATGACTTCCAAGTTTTACAGGTTTCTACACCTATTATGAAAGAAAACCTAAAATAGATAGTGGAAAAGAACCCCTCCCCCCCAAATATTTTTATTTTTCCTCCACTTTTTTACTTTATTTCAAAAAATTCTTTAATACCACCCAAAGAAGAGCTTAAACAGAATTCCGCCTTAAAATCTTGCATCTTCCTTTGAAAGGATTACTACCCCATGATACTTGAACCAAGTATTGTTTAAACCAGGAAGCACCATAGGTGCCTGAATCCGATAGGAGGGGAGAAAAACCAAGAGGAATAAGCCCAATGGCATTGCAAAATGAAGCAATTGATAGATTTTCATATTGAAAGAGATTATTGTTGGTCTATCTTTTCTACAACACAAATCTGAGAGGAAAGGCCGGTGTTAGACTGTGGATGAGGCTCATAGAGAACACCACATGAAGAGCTTCAACCTTTTTGGATATTTATCATGCCATATTGACTTGTGCGGAGGAGGGCTCTCCCTACTACCTTTATTGACCCAATCAGCAAAGAGACGACAATCAGAAATGTCCTACGTGGATCTGGAGGGCATATCCTTGATATGCCCAGCTGATTGAATGAAAACCAGAGAGCAAGCAGATAAGGATGCCCATTCAAAGATCTTACACCGAGACTCTTAAGAGTTGGATGAGGAACACCATAAATCCTTCCAACAATCCTTTAAGCTAGCTAAAGAGAAGATTCTAGGGCAACCACAGCTAAGGGGAAATCCGCAATCTACAAATTCTCCCTCCCAAAAGAATGTGGAAGAATTTTTGCCCAGTGCTTTTGATTCTAGAATAGACAAGATTCTCGTGCCTGATAATATTATTTCCAAGGCTCTTTATGATTGTAAAGATAGAAAGTACTCTCAGCCAAGAACCAAGATGAGTATTTCAAAATTTAGCCCGCATGATTTTCATCCATAGAGCCTTTTTCTCTTGGCAACATCTCCAGTTCCAATTTGTAAGAAGACAGCTGTTTCGTTATGTAAAATTACCAATGTACAGCTCCCTTCCTTCACAGGATAGAGGACCTTTTTCCAGTTAGCTAAATAAAAGCCACATTTTTTCTTATGACCTTCACAAAGAAACATTCTTCAAAACTTCTCCAGATTGATCATCGCCTTAGGACTGTAGAAAAGGGACAAATAAAAAACAGGGAGATTGGCAAGAATGGTCATGCCTTGTATATGGTTGAGGCTTCCCACTTTAGATATAGTGGAATCCCTCCAGTTTTGGTGCATATTCTCAACTTTAAAGGTCATAGGAGCCCAGAAAAAGGAGGATCTAGGTTTGTCATTGAGGAAAAGACTGAGATAAGCAGTGGATTATTGGCCATGCTTGCAATGAATGTCAGATGCCTAGAGATCAATATATAAAACATGACATAATACAATTACACGTTTTTAAAGAAAGATGCCTTTAAATAAAAAGATGTTGATGCCTGTTACCTTTTTCTTTCTTTCTTTCTTTCTTTCTTTTTTTTTTTTTTTTTTTGAAAAGAAAAACGTAGTTGGTGTCTGTTACCTTGTTTGCCCACATGAGTCCGCAAGCATTGCAAAGGGTTCTTGGCCCATCAGGTCCACGTCGCATCATTGGTGTTGACTTCTCACTAATGCCACAATGTCGGCAGCTACAGGCCAGTGAAATTAAAAGTGTGAATCAATCAATAAAATAATAAGCATGACTCTTTTAGTAATTAATCTGAAAATCATAAATAAAAACTAACAGAATTTCTTGTTGTTGGGAACCATTTCCATCGGTAGCCCAATTCTCATTTGATTCCCAACTTGTTATGGCCAATGATGAATCTTCATGAGTTGGTTTAGAGGATGTGAACTGGCCTTTATTCCGTTGCATCCTACAAGGGAAAGAACAGTGGGATGGAATCAATAAATATGAACACAGTGATCTTTTTGAACTTGCTAAAGTCTTTTATTGACCTAACCAAGGTACAAGAAGAAAAGGTACATGTGTGCGTGTATATTTTTTGTTTTTCTTTAATAAGAAACAATTTCATTGTTGTATGAAATTCACAAAAAAGGATATACATCAGCATATGTACTTAACAATTTCATCAGCATATGGACAAAAAATGCCATTTTGGTCAGCAAGTATGAAACTACAGATTAGTGGCCCGAAGCTTTTGGTTGCACTTATATTCATTGAATCCGTAAATTAGTAGGCTAGATGCGCAATCTGTAACAAAATATCTTCTAAAAAATTAGAGAGAATAGAAAAAACACCAACCGAATAACAACTAGCAACCCTGAGTACAACACTGGATATTTGACGCAACTTTGAGACTAATTCCAAGATCCTACCTAAACCTGTTTATACGGCCCCTAAATCCCTCTTCAATTCTCATAAATAGGCATAATGAAACTTACCATATAGACAGGAAATGTTGTCATCGGAAAGACAAAAAAAAAAACAAATAAATAAAAATACTTCGCTAATTCAGTGAAAAGAGAGGAATTATCAAGATGAAAAAAAAAAAACAGCAGAAAAAAATAAAGATGCCAGAATTTTACACCATTAGGATTGCTTGAATCCCCAGTTCAACAAAACTATGTGGCACTAAACAGCTTCTACCATCATCTGAAAAACCATGTTCAAATCAAACTATCCTCATAACAGGAACATACAGCATTAACTCCCAACTCGTGGAAGAAAATATAACCGTATTGAAGATGATATAATAGATGACTTAAAAGGGAAACCAACAATAAAGGAAGGTGAGATACCTAAGTGCTACCTCTTTACGAACTGTATACCGAATTTTCTTGTCAAAATTACGTTCCTTTCGCTTTTCACGAAATCTAATCAAAGACGCTAATCTCTGAGGGACACTTAGACGTGGGGGGATATTGGCAAGTGCCTGGTTAAACGCTTCATCAGTGAGATGCTACATATGAGATAACACATCATTCTTTAATAGATAGCACAATAAGATACAGGTAAAATGTGGATAAGCATAAATACATACCCTATCATTTTGTTGATTAGTTATTGGTATAGAGGGAACACGAATAGGTACTTCACGACCTCCCAATAATAATAACACGGCTTGAACCTGACAAGGAGTTGTTTAGATAATTTTGAAAACGGGAAACCATTGAACCCATAAAAGAACAAACTACATATGCTAACTTACGCACTAATAGGTACATGTGAAATTGTTAACTGGAATTAAGCTAAACTTAGACAACGGCAGATCAAAGCACTTCAAAGAACAGCAAGTTATTTGTAAAGCATGTTTCAAAAGAGATGAGTTCTTAAGAAATGGCTGAAGGAGTAATAAATTAAAATTAGAGACATAGTAGAAGGAATTTTATATTAAGCCTGAGTTGTGGTAAACAAGAATCCACCATACTAACAAAAAATATACTGAGCTGGGTCAGGTCTCCAACCATATTTAGGGGATAATCCATTATCAGTAAATTTCAGTCTATACTTCAATCGACTTAAACCCTCATTGGTTAGCACTAGTAATTCCTGGAATCCTCCATGTCAGGCAGAGCAAAAAAAAGGAGGATGCTCTTAGCTCATCTCAAGTCAAAAGAGGGTACTACCCACTTATCCCATCCCATTCATCGCCTATAAAGCCCAAAATCAAAATGTCCACTTAGTCATAAACCTGTAACGTCGATAAACATGTCAGTGTCAATTTAAAATATCTCAGTCACAATGAAAAGTGAAAGATTCTAAGTTACAACATCAAACTAGGACTTGGAAGGACCAATCTGACTCAACAATGTTTTCAGTATTAACAACTATGGAGAGAGCTCAAAAAGGTAATAACATTGTGTTGTCCCAGCATCAGGATATTACTTGAAAAATTCTCTTAATGTTTTTAACTTAATACAGCTACGGCAAAACGGGCACGAAAAGAAGAACGAATAACCTTTTCGGGCGAGACAGTGTCGAAAACATAAACTTGTCCCTGATAAGACAGGGTGAGTTGATCACAGTTATCACCTCCACGATCCACCATTACACCACGATTCTCAGCAAGGTCGCCATGGTCGGATGGAGCTTCCCTTTCCACAACCATAATGCCATGACCTTCATTTTCATGCTCATCAGCCAATGCATTCCCATTACTCGTGTAATGAAAGTCATGATGTTCCTGCTCTTGCACAGATTGCGTGTGCATCGAATGCTGTGCATGGTTCATATGCATCCGTCCATCGCTCGCATGAATACCGTCCATTTCACTGCTCCCGCAAAATACCGGAAGAAAAAAAACTCGATTAATCTAAATCATTGCGCATTAGATAAACTTCTAAGGCAGGTCCATCCTAACCCTAACAATTCAGTAATAAACACAAAATAAACAAGTGGCCAAACAAAAACAAAAGATTATCCGCGAGTGTGTACGACAATATCGAGTACACAGTTCAAAACCATGTTCGAAGTGCTTTGTGCCTAACACAATGACAATGTGTTGTGAGTTGAAGAAGCTAAATTCCCCCATTTTCGGAGAAAAAAAACTTGAACGGAGAGAGAAACAGTAAGTAAACCGAACCGAACGATGGCATAAGAAGAGGATTTGTGATTTGGTTGAAATTACCATCAAATAGAGTGATGATCCAACAGAGGAACACGAAAACCGCAACGCGATGAATGCAATCTCCTTGCTCTGATGCAAAGCAGGGTTGAAAAGGAGAGGATCGACGATCACATTGGTTTTCAGGTGGATGATCTCTCCTCGGGAAGGGGAGGGTTGAAGATACGATCTAAACCAATTGGGATCAACGGCGGATTGAGTTCGGAGAGGGGAGAGAAGGTTCTAGAAACTAGACACAGACCTGCCTCTGAATAAATCCCCCGTTAGCCGTTTAACACATCATTTTTGTTTTGGGATTCTTTTGGGTGAGAAGCCGTCTCATTGGCTTTTCCCCTCCTTTATTAAAAACTAAATTAATATAAAATAATTTATGTCTCCAATAATTCTTTTTTTATTTTTTTAAATTTCAATCAAATATAATAAAAATAATACCTTAAAAACAATTTAAAACAAAAATACATTTATCACTATTTTAAATAATACCTCTTTAAAAAATAATCATATTTTTTTTTATATATGAAATAAAAATTTAATAAACGGTTAAAAAAAATGTTGGAATATGGAGCCTGATGTCTAAATCGGGTAGAAATATATTTGGAAGATATTTGATGATAGAGATATATATGGTAGATATTTGGTAAATATCTAATAAACGTATATTTGTTAGATTATATGTCGTGTTTAAATATCTCGAAACTATATTTAGTGAATTGAAACCATATATATAACCCATTATGTCGTGTTCTTAAAATGTATTTTTCTTTATTGTCGGTATTCTATTTGTGAACATACCTCATCAATAAAACATTTTAGCCAATATTTTCTCTCTCCTATTTTTTGTGTTGATCTTGATCGAGTGTATGCGTTGTTGAACAATCCTATCTAAAAAATTATACTTTCACTCATGATGAAGACTAGTGAGCTTTTTTTTTTTTTTTTTTTTGAAAGTGAATTTGGAAATAATTCTCGCTTTTTGAGTTGCTCTCAGCTCACATTAAAGTAAAAGAGGTACCCTAAAGATCTAAGGCGTGTGAGCCGTGCGAGGTTTAAAGCTCTCCCGAGAAGATCGAGAAGGCCTTGGATTGCTATATGACATTTTCATTTTAACGAAAAAGCTTGGTTAAAAATAAATATTTTGAAAAAACAACGGGCCCTGATCGAGCAACTAGTAGTCCTGTCTATCTACCTCTCGAGACACAATATCTTGAGTACCAATGATGGTGACTACATCTGCTGGCATGTGATGTTTGGCCATAGAATCGAGTCCTTGTGAATGGGCAGAGCCAGGTGCTCTTATTTTACGACGGTAGGGACGATTGCTTCCATTACTGACCAGAAAGACACCAAATTCACCTTTAGGTGCTTCCACTGCGGTATAGGTAGAAGAAGCTGGTACGAAAAAAACTTATGTATAAAGTTCGAAATGGTGAATTGAGGTAGAGTAGACCGATGATGATCCTGTAGTCATTTGGCCGACTATTGAAAGAAAAAGCTTGCATCTGCTCCCCCTCAAAAAGGAGGAGAATCTCTTTTGCCAGCTCAATCCTCACGATAAGAATTCTGTATGCCAATTCTGCCTCAAAATCTCTGAAGGTGATCAGCCCCTAAGGTCTCAGGTCTCCGAGTCAGCCCGCGCTTTTTCGAAGAATCCTGCACCCATGGGCATACGGACCCGAAGATGGCAACGGGAGCACGAACGAGGTAACTGATGCTTTCAATAATTGAAACGTTGTCGCATCACTATCTTTTGATGCAAGGAAAAAGTGAATCAAGAGAGTTAGCTTTTTAAATGAATTAATATTTTAAAAATAAAAAATTAAAAAATAAACTTCCAAATTTAAGGAATTATTGAGGATTTTGTTTGTAATGCTTGGGAAAAAAAATATTATCATACTTTAACATAAATAAAATATTTTCAATAATCTTATTACATTATTTAATTCAGGGATTAACTTTTATGATTATAGTAAATAAATAATTTATTTATTTAATAATTTTTGAGTAAAAATAAATTAAATATACAATTTTAAAATTTATTATTGATTTACTATAATTATGAACATCAATTATTTATTTGAACTTATTCAAAATAAAATAAATTAAGAGGTAAAATGTTATCAAAATTTTATATAAATAAATAATATTTTTTTAAAATTATTGTAATTACTTCTAACAACCTTATAACAACTTTAGATAATTAATTGTTATTAGTTAATTTATTTTCATTAAGTCAATAAATAGCTTAACCAATTAAATTAAATTTTGATTAACTTTTTTCATTATAAGTATAATATAAACCATATACTTTTACGATTTTTAGATTATTTAGTTGTGAACATTAATAATATTTTCAAACAAATGATTTAATTAAAATGAGAAATAACAATAAACATAAATAATTAAAACTTATATTCAAAAAACAATAAAAAAAGAATAATTAAAAAAATGAAAGAAAATATAGATAAATAAATAATGGGATAATGAAATAATACGAATAAAAAAAAATAATATTATTTAAGAATATAGATAAATTAATTTATTATAAAAAAAACTAATAATGTATTAATATATTGTGAATTATGAATGATATTCGAATTTTATAAAATTTTAATTATTAATTTAATATATGAACAGATAAATAATTTTTTAAAAAGTAATTAAAATATAGACAATATTAAAATTATAGAATTAATGTAACTAGTTTACACCAGCTTTAAGTTGGTAATTAATTTTTAATTTTTAATTTTAATTATTTCCTTTTCTAATAATTCGGATTTATTAGAATTTATTCGAATTTCAGTTCAGAGGCGATTGTTCTTTCCTTGTAGATTACGGGTTTTTGTTAAAAGCTAATCGGTATACGCTGACGATTATCACCACTCACTACGTGTCAAAGCCTTATTGGTTGAGGTGCCCCACTGGTCACTCAAGAAAAATCATAAGCTCTCTCCATTTTTCTACGTCTCCCACTTTCTCTCCTCTTCGATCTTCACCGTCTCTTCCATTTCCATTTTTGCCTGTTTTCTTCCAAAATCAGAAAAGCACCTTCCACCAATCTGGGACAAATCAGATCCTTTCTACCACTATCATTTCCATCGTCAAAAACGCTTCAATCGCTGCCCATTTTTCTATCTCTCTCTTCATAAATCATGCTCTTCTCCCTGTTTCTTGCTCGCTGTCGTGTTCTGTGATAGATCACTCGACTTCGTGTCGGGAACTATTTGCTGATTTTGAATCTGGAAAGGTGATTTGTTTCGCCGCCGGTGCCTGTTCGGAGATCCCATGGCTAGGACCAGATCGTCCTCCAGCAAATGGAGGTTTTGTAACCCATCGTATTACCTGAAGAGACCGAAGCGTTTGGCTTTTCTTTTAGTGACATTCGTTTGTGTTAGTTTATTAGTTTGGGACCGCCAGACTCTGCTCAGAGAACATGAGGTACTGTTTGATTTATGAGTTCGCTTAATTTTTTCTAATCGTAGCACTTGCTCAAATCTTAGTTTTATTGCTTAGAGTTTTGTGGGATTTGCGAGGAATTTCTGCGAAGTGGCCGTCTAGGATGAGTTGCCTGATTCCTTAGGACCGTGGAGTACGAGAAAAATGCTACCAGTTTAGGATCCGAATTTGGACAGTTCAATGTTTTAGTGGGTCCTCTCATTCTCATCTCCACTTCCTGGTAAACGGCTACTCGTTGCGTAGAATTTTTCGAGAAAATTCCAAATAAATTTCCGCATCTCGTTCTATCTCTCTCGCGAAAGCAGTTAGTTTGCGCTTGTTATAAGTTCACGTCGTGACGCACCCAACCCAAGTTGTCGAAATTGATAATTCCTCATGTATGCCCACTATTTCATTATGTTACTACCAATCATGGGTTTTAATTTTACATGTCTGAGAATTGAAGAACAAATTGTCGGCGATATGTAACGAGCCAAAGCGGACAATATTTTCTAGCGGTGGACTTGGACTGTTACAAATGGTATCGAGTCAGTCACCGGACAGCGTGAGATACTGATCGAAGTAGGGCTAGATCCTCTCTATACTAGAAGGTTTTAAAAACCTTGAAGAGAACCCGAAAGAGAAAGCCGAAAGAGGTGGTGGGCTTGGCTGTTACTATAAATGTCCGTAGTTATTGTCCTTTGCAATTGTAACCAAGCTTATCTTGATTAGCTGCACTCTTTATCTACGGATCCATTTTGGAAGTGATATCCAGGTCGATCTAAGCAGCCAAACTCCTTATATGGAAAGCATGTGATGTGATCATATCCAACTTTATCTATTAGCTTCAAGTTCAATTTTCCTTTTTAAGAATATAATCTTTTGTTTACAAACATTGCTTTTGTCATCACTGCTAATGACTAGTTTCTGGCTGCCACACAGTATGTTCAAAACCTTGAATCTGTCTCGAAGTTTGGGGTATCCTTGGACACTGATGTTAGACAATGTTCAATGTAATTCTTTCAGTTTGAGAGTATCTTTTTTCTTGCTAGCATTTGATATATTCATTGCTCCTGTGTAGGACGAGCTTGCGAAGTTAAATTCTGAGGTGGTACGATTGAGAAGTCTGGTAAGAGACTTGATGTACTTATACCTGCTTGATACCAGGCTAAGCCGTTTAAGTTCAACTTTTTTTCATATAGTTATGGTCTTAATCATTGCATATACCTATATAAAATTGTATGTTCAGATAGAAGAAGTTAACGATAAGCCACAGAATACTATTGCCGAAGTTCATGTGGAGGCCAAGAAGGAGGTTGATGATCCTATTGATGCCGAGCGAAGAGAGAAAGTCAAAGAAGCAATGATTCATGCCTGGAGTTCCTATGAGAAGTATGCTTGGGGACAAGACGAGCTGCAGGTATGATGACCTCTTTTCTGCGTAATAGAATCTCTTCAATTTTTCTTTTGTCCTGAAACAGAGTTATAAAAAAGCTCAATTTAGGGCCTTTCTGAGTGCACTTGTCTTTGAACTCTTGGCAATATCCTCTGCTCTTTCCCTCTCTTTTTTTCCTTTTGTTTTGAAACGAGGTATAAAAAATCCCAATTTTCCCCTTCCTTCCTCTTTTGTTAAGGCATCTGTGTGTGTGTGTGATTATCTTTAGACCCTCGGCAATATTCTACATTTTCCTTGTAAATAAATGCATCTATGAAGTAGGCTAGTTTGGGAATCAAAACAGAAAATCGATAGCTCAACTGATTAAGACATGAGCCTCGTCCAAAAGGTAAGAGATTCAAACTTCACATGTTGTTTGACTAAAAATCAAAACAAAGAATTGCAAGGGATTTGT